TAACTTTTCATTTACCAGGTATCAAGTTTTAAATGTGATCACAAGAATAGATTTTTCTGGATTGAACTGTATAGACTGTGCTATATATTACCACACTTTCATTCATACATTTGATTTTAGTGACCACATAAAAAATTCAGCTTAGTATAAAGGCTGCTTATTCCATGTCCTGCTTTCTCACCAATCAAGTTGATTTGGGAGGGGGGGGGCGCGGAGATGAAGGCTTTCAGAAAGACTAGGCTGCCCATTAGAGTTCAAGAGCTGAGTATAACATGTCCAAAGAGGTAGCAGGCTTGAAGGCTATACAATGTCAGAGGAAGAATGTTTGAATGACATGAGAAGTTTTAATTCCTAAGAACTGTTGAAAGAGAGAGAAACTATTAGGGAATTCTGGATGTTAGAAGAGGGTGGTAGAGTTGGTCTCAAAAACTTTAGCAGTGATGACTTCAGAAAACCAGCAAAACCTCATTACTAAAACAGTCTGCTTGGATAATGTAACAGCCAGTAAGGATAATTCAACACTAAAGTATCCTGAAGTATGTATTGGAAGAATTTTATAATCTTTGCGGGGGGGGGGGGGGGGGGGTGTTGTTGTTTGTCTGTTTAAGTAACCTGAATAGTTTGCCTTACTCTGATGAAAAGTGTCTATGGAAGCCTTACCAGAATAGAAGATTCTCTCTGAAAGGGAATACTTATTAAGAAAATAATTTTTTAGAGAGGCAACAAGTTCTCAATTTGTTATGCATTGCAATATATAATAATTTCCAATGACCTACTTTAGTGGAAGTGAGTATGGAAGTTTTAAGATTTTTCCCTAAAGGCTTCTTGTGCCTTTTATGACACTACCATTTTCTTGTTTCTGCTCTTAAGACTCCATTAATGTACCCTAAAAATACTTTCAAGTGCCAAAAGGAAAGATAAGAAAGAAATTGAGAGAACAGCATCACTGAATGCAAGGATGAGAGGAATATATGAAACAGACAAGTCGTCACTCTGAATACAGGAGAAACTAGCTGGCTAAAGGAGGCAAATCATTGCTTTGCTAAGCCATAGCTTGGCAACAGTTTTCATTAGGCAAAGGATATCCAGAAAATGGAGACAGTTGATAAAAAATAATGTAATGTCTTTTACTGGATTAAAATTTCCAAAAAAAAAATTTTTTTTAAGAAGTATTATGGCATAGAAGTTTTAAAATGTAAACAAGATCTCATCTTAAAATTAATGTTAAGGCCGGGCGCTGTGGCTCACGCCTGTAATCCTAGCTCTTGGGAGGCCGAGGCGGGCGGATTGCTCGAGGTCAGGAGTTCAAAACCAGCCTGAGCGAGACCCCGTCTCTACTATAAATAGAAAGAAATTAATTGGCCAACTGATATATATATATAAAATTAGCCGGGCATGGTGGCGCATGCCTGTAGTCCCAGCTACCCGGGAGGCTGAGGCAGAAGGATCACTCGAGCCCAGGAGTTTGAGGTTGCTGTGAGCTAGGCTGACGCCACGGCACTCACTCTAGCCCGGGCAACAAAGTGAGACTCTGTCTCAAAAAAAAAAAAAAAAAAATTAATGTTAAGACTTGTAAATCGAATTGCTAAGTAGTAATATTTAATTAAATCTACTTATATTAATAATTAGCATGGTTAATAAGTAAGAGAGATGACTAATACTTGGGGAGGAATGGAGCATGTTCATATGCCTAGAAAGGGCTTTTTTTTTTTTTTTATCTGCAATAGTCTTCAAACTTCAGTGTGAGTACAAGTTGCTAGGATGCTTATCAAAATAAGGTTTCTCAATTTTGGCAGTTTTGAAATTTCAGATAGGATCATTTTTTGTTGCAGGAAACTGTCCTGTGCATTGTAAGACGTTTAGCAGCATTACAGGCCCACTAGACCCTGCAGTACCCCTCCCCTAGTCGTGCTTCCAGGTATTGCCAAATGCCCCTTAGGTGCAAAATCACTCCCCTCCTTTGAAAATTACTAGTCTAGGGTAAAGCTCAATCTCCATTTCTAGTAAGAATACCCAGGTGCTTTAACAAATATGGTCAGTTGACCACATTTGAGAAACACTGAACTAAAGTGTTATGTGTTGAACTGCGTTTCCCCCAAATTTGTATGTTAAAGTCCTAGTACCTCAAAATCTAACCTCATTTGGGAACACAGTAGTTGTGGATTTAGTAAAGACAAGGTCATACTGGAGTAGGATGGGCCCCAATCTAACATGACTAGTGTCCATCTAAAAAGGGAAAATCGGGACAACAGACACACAGGGAGAATACAATGTAAAGATTGGAGTGATGCTGCCACAAGGCAAGGAACTACTTGACAGACGTTGGGAGAGTGTTCTGGAACAGATCCTTCCCTTGAGCCTTCAGAGTGAGCACGGCCCTGCCAACACCTTGATCTCAGACTTCTAGGCCCTAGAACTGTGAGACAGTAATTTCTGTTCTTTAAGCCACTCAGTTTGTGGTACTTTGTTACAGTAGCCCTAGCAAACTGATCAAGAATAAACAAAGGAACAAACAAGTCAGAGTTTAGGATGAGGACAACACTTGAGGAGGATCAGGAAGAAAAATAAAAAGATGGCAGATTGGCACCAATTCCTAATTTATCTTTCTCAGAGCCTGACACAAAATAGGTACTCAAGAAATTTATATTTTTTTCATTAAGTACTCTCCAAATATATCTTGTCTAATTTGTCCAGTAGTTCCCCCTCTTATCTTCGGGGGGATAAGTTCCAAGACCCCCAGTAGATGCCTGAAACCTTGGATAGTACTGAACCCTACATACATTATGTTTTTCCTATACATATGTACCTATGATATAGTTTAATTTATAAATTAGGCACAGTAAGAGGCTAACAACAATAATAAAACAGAGCAATTATAATAATATACTATAATAAAAATTATGAGTGTGTCGTTCTTTCAGAACATCTTATTATACTGTACCTTTCTTGTGATGTATGAGAAAATGCCTATGTGATGAAATGAAGTGAGGTAAATGACATAGGTATTGTGACATAAATGGAAAATTCCAGAAATAAGTAATTCATAAGTTTTAAATTTTCATCTGGTTCATTCCATCCCTGCCCGACTGCCTTTCGTCGGCAGCTGCCTCAGATCAGCTATTACAGTGTGGCAGTGGATATGTTCAAGTAACCCTTATTTTATTTAGTAATCCCCAATGTGTAAGAGTAGTGAGGTAATATTTCAGACCTTGGTTGACCAAGGTAACTGAAACCTCAGGAAGTGAAACCTTGGGTAAGGGGAGACTACTATATTATTATAAGAGCAAAATCTTATAATTTATTACTTTAAAAGGTTGAAATATGAATCTTGTGATGGCTGTAAGAATAAAAGAAAAAAAAAAAGGTTGAAATTATCCATCATGTTCCATTTTCAAGCTTTAGCTGGTATTATTAATATATAATTGGATAGATTGAGTTGCCTGGAAGACAAATGGAATGCATAAATTATGCCATTATTCATAGAAGGTAATATATAAATATGAAATTCCATATATAGCAAGAATGCATTGACTGTGATCACACTGTGGCTTTAAGAAAAGTGTTGACTGTTTCAGGTCACAAAGGCACTATTTAGAGTACAGCAAGTGAGACTATGTGTCCAGCAGGCCACACAGTCACATGCCTACCCAAAGTGGGCAATTCATACACTCTCACTGGAAGAATTAAAAGAACTTGAAAGGCATGTACCCTAATAGCTCCGTTTGTAATAAAAGTGAACACTGTTGTCAATCATTATCAGCAAGACAAAAACAAGAGCTCAGTGGCAAATACTAGTCTTTTTCTCCTTGAGAAAGATAGAAAAATCATACTCCTGGACATCTTAGTTCATGTTTCCTCCTACAATTGAAGGGAAAAAAAAACCCACAAGTGTCCTTGTCTCAAGATTTTAGAATAAAAAGTTGTAAAGCTTCTATTGTAAATGAAGGCCCCTTACCCCCAATTTATTTTCCCTGCTCCTGTAAGCATAAACTAGGTAATGACAAAGAATGGTAGGAAGTATTGACAAAGAGCTCCTAGAAATGTCTACAAATTAAGCTGAGTGATCAAACACAAACACTGCTAGGCCTAGACCGCTTAAGTGCCCGCCACAAATCAGGATAAGCTAACAGAACATTAACTTGGGAGCCTTTGCCAAACTCTAATTTGGATATAATTTTACCTCACTAAATCCCTCACCTTCAATCAAGGAAATTTTCCCTCGTGCCCTTCAGAGTCACATGAAGCTGCTGCCAGATCCCAGCTAAAATTATGTTTCACTGTTAACAGATTTGACTCCTGGGGGACAAGGTGGTGGCGGTGGATAATTAGGGTTTGGCACCTGTTCTAAAAGGCCCCAGGAGGTTAGGGTAGGGACTACCAATTCTCAAGGCTATTTTCTTTTTCCAAAAGAGGGCAAGACCAGTAAAGAACTGACTGAGTGTCCCTGAGAGGAAGAGCTGCAGCCAGACAAAATAGAAATCTGGGTGATGAAAAGCAGAAGTAAATAGGTTTTTATGGCTACACTGTTAGTATTGTGTTCTCTCCAACTTCTCCAATTGTTTCTTCCCCAAGTCACTGAATCTTCCCACCAAATCAGGCCAAATGAGGGGTTAGCTGCACAACCCCTTCTCACTGAGTGCCTCTCTTCTTCCTTACAATCTCCACGGTTTCCTCCTTGCACGGGCCCACCCCCCACCCCAAAGGTAAGGGCCGGCGCCCAAATACAGACTCTAAGGTCCACTGCGGGCGGCTCCAGTCTAGGGCAGTTGCCCAGAAGAAAGTCTGACGCCGAGAAATCTAATCGCCCCCGTCTGATCTCCGCAGCTATTGTGCCTCCAGGGGAAGGCAGAACAGGTGAGGGCGGCTGGAGGGAACCAGTTCCGCGACAGTCGGAGAGGGCGAAGTGAGGGTACCGGGCGAGGGAGGGAGGGAACCGCGCGCGATAAGCAAAAGGGGCGCCACTGAAGAGCCGCCTCCCTCCCGGATCACCTTGCGCTGACCTAGTAGAACTGCGAGGGAAGGACCTGGCGCCAGCGGAGACGGGCGGGGCGGGCGGTGGGCGGGGCCTCCGGCGGGGCGGGGCCTGGCGCTGGGTTTTTCTGGCGCTCGCCTGTGATTTGCCGAGGGCTTCGAGCCGGAAGCGGCTGGGAGGCGTTGGCGGCAGCGGCGGCGCACGTGGTGACGTGCGAGGGGGTGCGGCGCGAGCGGTCGCGGCGGCGGCGGCAGACTCTCCCGGTCGCGCGTGGAGGTCGGTTGCTCGGAGCTGCGGGGCGCAGTTTCTCCGTCTGCGGCTTCGGCGCAGCTGTGCCGGCGAGCGAGCGAGCGAGTTCCCGCGAGTCCTCGGTGGCGCCCCCTCCTCGCAGCCGCCACTGACTGGCCGCTCGTCCTCCCGCTCGACCGCCGCCTCCCTCCGTCGCCTCGAGGCGCTTTCCGTTGGGCCGATCCCGCCCGCTTCCTCCTGCTCCCCATCGAAGCGCTAGAGATGAATTTTTCCGTCTCTTCAGAGATGAACCAGGTAACAGGCGCCGGTTCTGCACACGGCGGACGCGGGAGAGGGCGCAGGCGGCGGGGAAGGGTGGGAGGCGCGGAGCGGCGTCCCGGTCTCCCGGGAGGACGCCCCGAGCGGCGGCCGCTCTCGGGGACGGCAGGCTGGCGCCGCGCTGGGCCGGCGCTCGGCCGCTGCCATGGTTGCCGAGCCGCGTTGGCGGCCGCGGGCGGTGCCGGCCGCCTCGGGGAGCGCGGAGGCTCAGGTCCCAGGTCCCTCTTTTTCACCGGGGCGGGGGGGCAGGGTGGGAGGAACGCGAGGTTTTTGCTCCCGGGGTCGTTGGGGGCCTGGGTCCGGGCGCCACCGGCGCGGGACTCTCGGCCTCGCTGTCAGAACGGACGCCTCGCGCTGGGTCTGCCTGGCATCTGGATTCTCCCCCGGAGGCCGCCGGGGCCTCGGCGCCTGTGGCGGGCAGCCAGCCCCGGGCCTGGAGTGGGCTGGCACCGGGTCCCCGATCGCCGTGGGCCGCGGGGTCCTTTGTTCCCGCTCCACGTTGCCCGCTTTTCTTGCCAAGCGCGGGGAGAAGGGGGCGGGAGGAGGGAGGGAGCGGCTGCCCTGACGTGTCGGCGCTGAGTGACTGCGGGGCCGGCCAATCCGGGCGGGGGTGTGCGGGCGCGGGGCGCCTGGCCGCCAGCCTCCGGAATGGGCGCCGGCCTGGCCGCGCGAGGGGGAAGGCCTGGGGCTGCAGCGCGGGCCACTCTTCGGCGCTCTTTTTTATGAAAGAGGTAGGTGGCGAGGTTTGCTCTTTTTCCGTACTTCCCCCTTTTTTGCTAAGGGACTCTGGTCTTGATCGGAAGGTATCAGTATCAGATTAGGGTTGAACGTAGGGGAACTTGAACCACTACTTCAGGACTACATTTACCTTTTCCCCCAGTACGTAGTAGACAAATCTGTTGGTTTGAGACAGCTGATATTTCAAACCAAGAGAAATCACATGGCCCACAGGGCGCATTTTTGTTTCCTAATGTCTAATGATGACGAGTTAGAACTTTAAGCTGTTCTTTGAGTTCTTATGTGTTGTGATTGCCTGTATAGTAATAAATGACAACTCTGGAAGCCTGGTACTATTAACAATTGAACAAGTACAGCATACCATCATGACATATTTTCTCTTAATTCTTACACCAGCAGTTGCTTTAGGAATAACAAATATTGATGAATACTTTTAGGCAGAATCCTGCTGAAACATGTGTCTTAAAGATGCTGAAGGAGCAGTTGTATTTGTAAGTCTGGACATGAGGTAAACTGACTAGAATTGGATTGAGACTAATATCATTTAATGCCAGCAGGCAGGCTACTTACCTATCAAAATTTGGTAGGTGAGGGTAAACAGGACTTGAACCACTAACCAGAGAAAGACCCGGAATGGTTTTCCTCTATTTTCCTAATAGATGAAACTTCTAATTAATTAATAGATGCTGATATCTATAGCCATTGTCTTAATTTATAATTCTTTATTTCTGACTTTTCCCTCCATGACAAAGCATTTCAAATTTTAGTCTTAGGTCTAAATTAGTGTCTTTTGGCTATTTGTTTTTGGAAAGTGAGGTTTTGCTTTTCTTGCTTGAAGGATATGTTAGATGGCAATTGAATGTGTGGTTTTGAAAATAAGTTTTTTAATTTAAGTCTGTTATTAGAGAGGGCTAAAGTGCAGTAGTATCACCATAGCTCACTACAACCTAAAACTCTTGGACTCAATCCTTTTACCTCAGCCTACTGAGTAGCTGGGACTACAGGTGCCACCCACCACACCCAGCTAACTTTTTACTTTTTGTAGAGACAGGTGTCTCACTGTTGCTCAGGCTGGTCTTTAACTACTGACCTTAAGCAATCCTCCGGCCCCACCCTCCTAAAGTGCTAGAATTTCAGGCATGAGCCACTATGCCTGGCCCTATTAGGCTCTATCTTAATCATTGATAATTGATAATTATAATTGATAAGGTGAAGTATCCTAAAAAATAACTTCCTTGACTTTTTAGCAGTATCATTGTATAGTTAAATCCTGCAAGTAGGAATTCTTAAAGGTTAAGGGTCCTCCCACCATGTTCTCTGTTAGAGTGTAAATTGAGGTATTATGAATAAGGAAGTGATTTCTGGGTTTTTGTTAGAACCACACAAAAAAAATACATGCTTATCTTATAAACTGAAGTAACACCTTGGTGACTGTTTCTAAACCTGTACCTAGATCAGTACTCTTACACTTTTAATATCAACCTGAATGCCTAACAGGTAACTCAGCATTAGACCATCCCAAACCAAAGTCTTCCTTTCTCCATGCAGCAAACTAAAAACGACTCAGTGTTATGCTTCTTGGAATTCTTAATTATAATATATATTTGAATAATGATGCCACATCCAAGCTAAAATATCTTAAGTCTCCACTGCCTTAGTTAAGGACTAAGCATGGGTGTACAGAATCTTTATGTAACTGTACTATTTCCTGTTACCCATCCCCCACATATCTGTTTCAATGCCCTATGCTTCCTTACTTAACTCCTTCATCTGTTCTCCATTCTCAGCACTGTTTAAACCTTGGAATTAGTCTCTCTTACTTCCTCTCTCACTGTTTACCATATGCATCCTACAACTCTACAAATTTACAATCTATTAAAATGAAATAGCTGCAAGTTTCTGGAATATATTTGCTCTCATACCTTTTTTTCTCTTTTGTTCAAGCTGTTTTCACTGGTTTATCTGTCTTCCTGTCCAGCCTGTGAAGTGGTTAAGGATAGGGAATTGAGTTAACTCCATTGTGTTATGAGCATTCCATTTCACTTTGTGCCTGCCATATGTTTGGTGCCCAGATGTTTGTTTTGTAATGAAAGAATTACAGAACTCTGAGGTTAAAAGCATGGAGCAAATGAGTGAGTTTTTATATAGATGGATAGTGATAGTGGTTTTTAGAGGGTTCATTGGGAAGCTGAAACTTCTGATTTTAAAAAGGTCTGTTGATTTACTTTGTATTATAAAGTCTCTCCTTTTAAAATGGAGTTGATTGCTACTTTGTGGGAATTGACTGCCCTCAAAAGATTGCCTTTACACTAATTTGCCTTGAAGTTTTAAGGATGCTTTGAAAGTTTGATTATAGTGTTTTATCTTGCTCTTAAGAAAAGCCAGAGAATTTTGGGAGAGTCCATATTATGCCTACCTTTTTTAATACTCCTGTTAATAAGACCTGTTGAATTGTATTTCACTTAAGCTAATCTTTCTGGGCTATGGTAATTTGTGAACTGCTGGGTGTTAAGCAGTTTAATTACTCATTTATGAATCTTCTATATTCTTTTTTCTTGTACTAGCCATACAGAGGAACTGAAATATATTGTATTTATCAGAATATATTGTATTTGATCCCAGTTTTAATCTTAAAAGTGGATTAATTGGAAGTATATTTTAAATATCAAACAAAATTCTAAGTTTTATGCTTTTATGTGACTCTAGGATGTTTGGGCTTTTTGGTTTGGATTTTCAAGGAAAAACATTCTCCCCATTTTTTTATTCCACTAGTTATTGTGCTTGAATTTCATAAACCACATACCACATAAGATCTTCCATGAATTTCCGGGGTAGTTTTAAAACTCTTGATTTGCTCAGCTTACTTTAATGAAAGTGACTGTGAACTTTCAAAAACATGGTTTTACAGGTAGAAGTTGATCTGACCGTTACCAAACTTGGGGGGAGGTTGGGAGGAAGGACATAGTTTATGAAAGCAGTAAGTGAATAAAGTAAGTTTGTATTAACTTAAATGTCACCTGGACTTGGGCTAGCTTTTAAAAATCAAGCAGGATTGTACTAATCAGTAGATATTAACAAGATTAGATGAGGTTCATATTCAGACCTTGATGAACTAAAAATCAAGTATTAAATGTAGTAGGACTCACTCTATGCCAAGTTCCTCCAAAAATTCTCCAATGTATTCTCCCAAAGGACATGGAAGAAGTTGTTTTGTTCTGTTTTATTAAGAGAGAGTCATGCTCTGCCCAGGCTGGAGTGCAGAGGCTCCATCATAGCTCACTGCAGGTTCAAATGCCTGGGCTCAAGCTAGCCTCCTGCCTCAGACTCCTGAGTAGCTGGGACTACAGGCTTGTGGCTATAATTTTTTGGTTTCTTTAGGATAGTGTGTTATCTCTGTGAATAAAGAATTGTGTGTATTTGGGAGAATATTTGTTTTCTAATTTCTTAGGAAAAGCTTAATTAACCAACCTAGATAAAAATGTAGAGCCAAGGAAATCAGTATTACATAATAGTTTGATATAGTTTTGATGCAGAGGTAAGCCTTCACAACAATCCCAAGCTAAGCTGTATACTTGGGTTTCCTTGAAATGAAACCTAAGTTATGGAGACATATATGAGATCCAGCTCTTACAGATTGTCAATATGCTAAACTTAACACAGTTGGTCTATTGCATTAGTACTGGACCAGCTTGCAGTGGAGCCTGTGGTAAGTGATTATTTACTTTGACATAATTGTTAGGTTTAGAATTGTGGGTTTGATTGATGCATGAGGCAAATCCAAGTCCTTTTAAGATATTCCTAAAAATTGATATATTTGCACATATTTCAAATAATTTCTTAGTTCTGGCTTCCAGAATTAACACTGATGTAATAGCGGTTCAAGTGATTAAAAAGTAAGTGCCATCTGAATTTGACACTAGTAATTGATGATGACATGTGAAAATGAAGGGGGAAAGAATAGGTAGGAGTACTGATTACCTTGAAGATTAGATATGAACCAGAAATTCCATTGGTATTTATTACTTTATGAAAAAAATGACCAGTTATCAGTATATTCCCTTTTATTTATTTAGTTTGTTTCAACAAATTACTCATCTTTATGTTCAAGTTCCTAGGCTAGTCCTGGTAGAGGGGAGATGGGTTTGGATACAAAAGGTGAACAAAACAAAGGTTTTGCCTTCACAGGGGTCTGAAACCAAGGAAGATAAACAGGTACATAGAAGTATTAGCTCAGAATAGACCAGCTAGAAGATCATATATACCTTTCAGAGAGACTTCTGAGTGCAGAGGATGAGACTCTGCTTCCCAACTGGGAGGATTTGGCAAGAGGCTTTATGACTGTAAGATTTCATCTGGCAGAGGTTGGGTTAAAGGAATTCAAGGTAGAGAGAACAATTAGAACAAAGTTA